CCTCGCCTCCATTGAATCCATACAGGGCAGTCGCCACCGGCTTCAAGTCGAGGTTGAGCTCCTTATTTATCTGCACAAAACAATCATAAAACACTACGTCCACCGAGCTCCCGGTATCAATGAACACCCTCTTCACATCAAAACCAGCCACCTCCGCCGTTATCACCAACGCATCATTGTGGGGCAGCACTACTCCCTCTGCATCCTCCGCTCGGAAACTTATCACCGGCATTCGAGCAGTGATCCCCACCTCCTCTCTCTTTCTTTTCACCGCTCGAACATGGCCTTTCCTCGCATTATTTGAGTCCCCATCAGTCGGGCCCCCCGAGATCATATAAATCGTCCCTCTCTTCACTGGTCCATGATTCTCCTGCCCTCGATCTTGGCTCCCTCGTCTCCTTTTGCCTCCTCGATCATCTCTCCCTCCTCGAGGATCGTTCTTCTCATCCTCATCTCGATCACTCCGCTCCACTGAATCCTCCTGACACCTTCCTTTGCCTTTCCCCTTCGCCTTGTCTTCATATACGAACTCCTTAAGATATCCTGCCCTAATAAGGCGCTCGATCTCATCCTTGAGGTGTCTGCACTTCTCCGTTGTGTGCCCATAATCCTTATGAAAACGACAATACTTCCCCGACCTAGGTTGCGTTGGGCCCTCACGCCTCGACTTTGGCCACGTCACGTCCTTATTCTCGATCTTTTTCTCAATAGCCACCAGCACCTCCCTCATCTTTTCATTAAGGGGCGTAAAGTTATGGAACCGCTTCCCTCCAAACACTGGTCAATCTTTCCATCGGTCCTCACGCCCTCGATCAACTCTGCCACGCCCCTCTCTCCTGGGCGATCTCCTACCTGGCGACGCCTTTCGAGGTGAGCTCGCCCTTCCTTTCTTCGGCTCCGGCCTGGCCAACTCCTCCAACTTAGCGAACTCCGCCTCCGTCTCTTCCAGGTTAATATACTTCTTACACCTTTTCAGCACATCATCATACGTACGAGCAGGGGTTTTGGCTAAAGATGTTCGACAGGGCCCTGCTCGCAAACTCCGTATCAACCCCCCAGCCTTTACCTCGTCCGAGGCCGTGGGGATCTCCAAACAAGTCTGGTTGTATCGCGGAACATACTTGCGACGATTCTTTCTCCCCTTGCCTCATGGCCATCAACGTCAAATAGGTTTTCTCCTGCGCCACCGCACTCGCATACTGGTCATCAGCTTTTCCGCGAAATCGTCAAAGTCCTTGATTGATCCATGAGGGAGCTGCTGAAACCAATCGAGCGCACCTCCTCTCAAGGTCGACAAGAATGCCCTGCAGCTAACAGAATCAGAATAACCATGTAACACAGCCAAATTCTCAAACGCCCTTACATGCCTCGACGGGTCAGTGGTCCGGTCGAACATTAAACTCATGTCTCTAAAATTCGCAGGTAGCGGTGCAGCCAATATATCCCTCGAGAACGGATGTCCTCGAGCACGCCTTTCAGGTCGACCATCCATCTTAGCCTGCAACTGCCTCACTTGCTCCGCGAGCCTCTCCATCTCACGATCTCGCGGGGCTCCCTCTCCTCCATAGCTAGACACGTCCTCATCCACCAACGTTGGTCCAGCAGCCACTCGCGAAAGGTTTTGAGTGACCTGCTGAACCGCTTGTGCCGCCGCGTTCGCCACCATTTGCTGCGTCTCCTGCCTGGTCATCACCACCTGCTGACCGGGTCGCGGCTCCTCCACTGGCGGTGGTACTGCTCTCTGCACCGCCACTCCTTGCTGCAGCGTCACGGCCAGATCTGGTTGCAGTGGCGTTGGGGTCGCCGCTCCTTGAGTTGTACGAATCTCCTAGGCCCGGCTTGAGCCCACGTCATCCTCTGGTTGCACCGGCGTGACTCCTACGCCTTGGGGAACGAGCATCGGAGTCACCAGTGTACACAAGGGTCCGGAGAAGCCCAGAGGAGGGCCTTCTCCGAACGGCCTCGTCGTCGTCCACGCATCGTCGAACGATGCTTGTAAATCTCTCCTAGGAATTCCGTCCGCAATAGCCACCGAGCGTCAGAAATCTCAGCACACCACTTTTCGAACAAAAGTCCCACAGGCGGCGGCAAATGGTAACGCAAAACACTCCGACCGGCTTGAAATCAGCTTGCTTCATTCTTCCTCGCCGGTAGAACGCCGCGTTCCTGCACAGAACTCTCACACCAGAGGGGTTTTTCGGTGAAGAGCCTCCGATGCTTAAGTCAGTATGTGTTTGTTCAATTTTCCAAAGTAAAGAATGGATAAATCGTAAGTCACAAGAAAAGACCCACTCCCATATATATAGGAGTGAGATACCTGCCCTAAAAACTGCCCGGCTTTTGGTGAGCTGTCCTGCCCGTACTGCCCATCCGTACACACACAGTGTGTGTGTGTCAGAGATGTCAGGGGTGGCTTTCGCCACTATCACTATGCACCAATATACTCTTGCCACGTGTCCCTCTAAGCTGAGGGAGTTTAACCCTCTGCGCAGGCCGTTGGGATCTTCCCACGTCATCCACGCGCCTCCTCACGTTCACGCCACGCTCTAGACTGCTCTTCACCCGTTGAGTGTTCGATCTCCTCCCCTTTGGTCGATCCTCGATCAGTTCTGCTATTCTGCTCGATCTCCTCCCTTCTGGTCGATCCTCGACCAGTTCTGCTATTCTGCTCGATCTCCTTCCTTCTGGCCGATCCTCGACGAGTTCTGCTATTCTGCTCGATCTCCTTCTTTTTGGTCGATCATCCTTCTCCCAATCCGGTTTTCTCCACCTCGAGGTTGTTCTACCGATGATGCAAACCGGTCTATTCCTCAGCTATATAATATCCCATATCAGACTATATTCTAAACCACAAGCCTACGAGTAGATTTGTCTTAGAGGAGTTAAGGGGTAAGGTCACGAGTTCAATACTAAGTGTGCAAGTAAATAGGCCACATAATACTGCAACACGTGTTACTAAGGATGTGCATGTGTAGGAAGTGCCTCGTTGTAATGGGAGGGTTGTGAGATTGCACGACAAGTTTATGTTTCTCGGAGAGTCTTCGGACGTAGTCTCGGGTAATCTAGAACCTGACCCTTGGACGTTTGACAAGGAACTTTAGGACAAGGATGCAAAATCATGGAAAAGTGCGTTGGATGTTGTGATGGAATCAGTGGACTCCAATCAGCTCTGGGATCTTGTAGAACTATCCAATGGGGTACGAACCATTGGATAAAAGTGGGTTTACAAGATAAAGAGAGGATCTGAAGGGAAGGTTGAAACCTTAAAAGCGATGCTTGTGGCGAAAAGGTATACTCAGAAATAGGGCATCGATTATGAGGAAACCTTGTCACCAGTAGCCATGCTCAAGTCCATTTGGATTCCCTTGTCTATAGTTGCTCATATGGACTATGAGATTTGGCAGATGGATGTGAAGACGACTTTTCTTAACGGGAGTCTTCAAGAGGACATCTATATATAACAACTTGAGGGGTTCGTCGCAGTGGGTCGTGAGCACCTAGTTTGTAAGTTTAATCAGTCCATTTATGGACCAAAGCAGGCTTCGAGGTCTTGGAATATTAGGTTTAATGAGGTGACCGAGTTGTTAGATATGCTGTAAAAGCATGGCTTTCAGATATAAACAATACCATTTTGATCTGACAATCGTGTTTTAGTCAAAATATTTATGTTCGCAGTTTATTTATTTATGCAATCATAACTCCATTATTTTACATTGTAGATAATATGGTTCGTCGTGTCGAACAGAAAGATCATATTATCGGTTCCTTGTAAAATATAAATTAATTGTTCCCAGTTTAAACAGGTAGTGAGTCCCTTGTTGGAAAAAGACTGTAGTGTAGTCTTGATTCAGTTGATCTTTAACTGATGGGTTACACTAGTACTTATGATAAATATTGAACGGACCGCGGAAGGATATGATTATAAGATTTACTGATCGTTGTTATAATCTAGACCTTCAATAATCGATGCGTACTCTTAAGCTGTAAGAAAATATGGGTAAAATATACAAGACTCCCTTGTATTATACGAAATCTGCGCGTTTCCCCCCTGTATTTTAAAAATTGCGTCAGATCCCCTTCTATTAAGGTCTTGTATGCGCGAAACACCCAAAATCGTCTAAATTTTGGGTGTTTCGCGCATACAAAACCTTAATAGAAGGGGGTCTGACGCAATTTTTAAAATACAGGGGGGAAACGCGCAAATTTCGTATAATACAGGGGGGTTTGGTGCATTAAACCCAAGAAAATATAAAATGGGCATATATATTCATTACTTATTTATTTGATTTACCAAGGGTGATTCCTATTCTGTTAGGATGACATACTCGGTATTTTGGTAAGTAAGAGTGTTTATATAATGTGTCGTTATAAATTATTTACAGTCACAATGGCTCAGTGCGCTAGGTTGATGACGTCTCCAAAAATGAGCTCAAGAAGGAATATTATGTCAAACCCTGCAGGTGGATAATTATCCGACATAATGATTAATGAACTGAGTGGTACTAATTTCGAAAATGAAGAAGTCGAATTAATTTTATTATCAGTAATTAAATTAATCGACGGACGTTATATCTGAAACATAGGGAAGTAAATCGGTCAATTAGATTAATATTAATTAACCATTTGAAGGTTTGAATTTATTGAATAAATTGGAGCTAAATGAGGAGAGCAATAATATTACTCTAGTGGGATGTTTTATTATTTAATTATAATTAGGATTTAGGAATTAATTATATTCCAAAATTTAGATTTCATTAGGAGAGAATTATTCCTTCTAGATTAATTACCCTAGGATTAGGAGAGTATGGAGTCTTCTAGAACGGTGATTGATGTTAGGAGGAATAAGACTTCTATATGGGAAATGATGTGGAGCATGATTAGGATTCCTAAGCCTAATGGGATAAGCCCATATTTAGCACCTCCTTAAGGTCCCTAATGTAGCCTATAAATACACCACGTCCCAACCACTTTCTCTATTATTGTGTGAGCTCGATTTTTAGGTCTTTCCAAAGAGAGGAAAATCGAGATTTACATATATTCGAGAGTTTGGGAGTTTCAATTAATCGTACCACCAAGATTAGTCGAAGTAGGTGTTAAGGTAATACATTAGAAGATCTTAAGGTGAGATATTTCAAACCTTGAAGATCTACTTTTTTCGGCCATCCTCCACCGTCAACCGCCGCCGTTGACCACCACCGTCCATCGCTGCCGGAGACCACCAGCGCCTAGCCGCATAGAGCCAGTCGCTGGCACGCAATCCCCAGCGACACCCGCGCGAGCCACTTGTCCCGCCTACGTGCTCGCTCACGCCGCTGCCCGTGATTCTCTGCACCCCGCTCCCTGCGTGAGGAAGCACGCGCTCGCTAGTCCGCACTAGACCAGGAATCCAGAGACGCGTACCCGCGTGACACCAGACGCCTGCAACCAGTCCTAACAGGAGTAGGAGTCATGCGACCGCACGCGCTTGACCTCCTCGCGTCTATCTGCTACCAGCGCGTTCCGTCCAACGCCCGCGCACGCTTGCTGCTAGCACCCATGCGTCCCGATTGCGACCCCCACCAGCCAGCGGCCAGTGCCTTTCCACGTACTGCCGCCGACCGAGACATGATCCAGCCGAGGTCGAGTGATCCCAGCCGAGCCCAACCGAGTTCGACCGAGTCAACCCGGGTCTGACCAAGTCAACCTAGTGAATCGAGCCCGATTCGACCAACCCGAGCCCGACGAGCCTGTTCCGGTGATCCGTTCGTGTTTCAACGACTTGATTAGAATCGAGAAAGGTTAGATACGTCAGCCCATCGGATTCTGGTAGTCAGACTCCATCAAAGGAAATAGAAACGTCTCTGAGTCGGCAAAAATTTTAAACGGTAACGTCCTAACCCTAACTATAGATTCTGCTACGTTAGGGTTTTATTTTGTCAAATTCAAACATTCATGTTGTTTTCGTTCCTAATAGAACCCAACACAAGTCGTACGGGTCCACGCAATGTCCGGATGAGCACCGCATGTACAATAAAAGTGAAATAAATGTGGTGGTGTTTCTTGTGTTTTATGTAGACAAAATCCTTCTCGTTGGAAACAATGTAAATATGTTGTTAGACGTAAAGGTGTGGTTGTCGAAATAGTTTGATATGAAGAATTTAGGAGAAGCGGGACAAATTCTCGGTATCAAAGTTATACAGAACTGCGATAAGAGAATGTTGTGATTACCTCAATTTTCCTACATAGACACTGTTCTAGCTCGATTCAACATCAAGATTCCAATAAAGGCTTATTTCCCCTTCAGCATAGAATTCCACAATCTGAGAAGATGTCTCCTAAGACGTCTCAAGAAATATAGGACGTGAAAGAAGTTTCTTATGGAATCGACAATAGAAAGTTTGATGTATGTGATGTTGTGTACGAGATCAGATATCTGCTATGCAGTAGGCATGGTGAGCAGGTATCAAAGTAACCCAGGACAGGGTTATTGGACCGCGGCGAAACATATACTCAAGTACTTGAAGAGGACCAATGACTATATTGCTGGAACACGCCGACGAGGCGGTCCTTCCCACGGATCGATATCGGATACCAAAACATGTACATACATGATTTCGATTAAACCTAAGCATGCTCCTAAAGGATGAACAGAGATATACCTTTCTTCAAGGCTTTGATTTGATCTGAGCGATCTTCTAAACTGTGTCCTGACCACGTTTGGACGCCGGATGGACGACGATCCTCCAAACGGTTGAAAGAAGAGAACTGCCCACGTCTTTCTCGAACCCTTCTCGTTACTCTTTCCACGATGGTGGCTGGAGTGTCTCACGAAAGTCTCTTAGGGTTTAGAACGTGGGAAGTCCCCTCTTTTTATAGAGGTCCTTGGGCCAGCCTAGGGATCTCTTAGAAGGTATAGGGTTTGGGCTCCCTACAGGCCCAAATTCTTATGTTCAGCCCAGAACACAATTTGGCCCGTAAATATTAATTCATTCCACTAGAGAATTAATATTGTACTCCCGTCCTATCTTGAAATGAATCAGGGCTTCTATTAGACTCGATATAATTCCCCGTGTTTAAGATATCGCACGTCCATTAATTATTAAAGCTTCTGACTGCTTTAATTAATTAATATCTTTTAATCCTTAAGTAGTACCACTCAACTTTATTATCGTACGGATTAAATCCACCTGCAGGGTTTATACGATAATCCTTATGAGTTCCTTAAGGGGACATCACCAACCTGGATGTCCAGGACACGGTGCCCTAATGCCAATAAATAGATATCATGCAGATAGTGTTGTTACCCAAGATACGGAGCTATTGAACCAATACTTGGTCCTCACCCATGGTAAGTCAAAGTAACAAACAAATATCCCATATATCTAATTACCACAGTTTGGGTTAAGAATTAGTAGAGTCATCGAGACCTAGGTTCTTCATGATAGTCAGAACAGAAGAACACGTCTCAACTGTGATCCTTTCAATGCGACGCAGCGCACTAGTATAAACCAATAGCCAAGACAAGCTACATCCAGTTTATACTACAACCTACACCGATAGTCATGTCCATAACTATCTCAGTTGTGAATACCATTTATATCTTATAAGGAACCGACAATGTAATCTTCTGTGTGACTACTAACACACCACATTGTCTACAATATAAGATAATTTCACATTGTTACACCGATAGTCATGTCCATAACTATCTCAGTTGTGAATACCATTTATATCTTATAAGGAACCGACAATGTAATCTTCTGTGTGACTACTAAAACACCACATTGTCTACAATATAAGATAATTGGACATTCAACATACAAGCAATCATAAAGAATGCAACAATGTGAAAAACATTTATTTCAGTCAAATGGGAAATCGAATAATACAATCCAAAAGCTCACGTAAAAGTTTGCTTTACAGTATACTCCAACATATATGATAATCTACTATTTAGACCAATTGATCCATGTGGGTTATACTGATTCTGACTTACAGTCAGACCGAGACGAAAGTAAATCTACCACAAGTTTTGTGTTTACTCTGGGAGGTGGAGCCATTATATGGCGGAGTGTCAAGATAAATGTGTGGCAGATAACATCGTAGGAATCTAGAACCTGACCCTTGGACGTTTGACAAGGAACTTTAGGACAAGGATGCAAAATCATGGAAAAGTGCGTTGAATGTTGTGATGGAATCAGTGGGCTCCAATCAGCTCTGGGATCTTGTAGAACTATCTAGTGGGGTACGAACCATTGGATAAAATTGGGTTTACAAGATAAAGAGAAGATCTGATGGGAAGGTTGAAACCTTAAAAGCGATGCTTGTGGCGAAAAGGTATACCCAGAAAGAGGGCATCGATTATGAGAAAACCTTTTCACCAGTAGCCATGCTCAAGTCCATTTGGATTCCCTTGTCCATAGTTGCGCATATGGACTATGAGATTTGGCAGATTGATGTCAAGACGACTTTCCTTAACGGGAGTCTTCAAGAGGACATCTATATATAACAACTTGAGGGGTTCGTCGCAGTGGGTCGTGAGGACCTAGTTTGTTAGTTTAATCAGTCCATTTATGGACTAAATCAGGCTTCAAGGTCTTGGAATATTAGGTTTAATGAGGTGACCGAGTTGTTAGATATGCTGTAAAAGCTTGGCTTTCAGATATAAACAATGCCATTTTGATCTGGCAATCGTGTTTTAATCAAAATATTTATGTTTGCAGTTTCTTTATTTATGCAATCATAACTCCATTATTTTACATTGTAAATAATATGGTTCGTCGTGTCGAACAGAAAGATCATATTATCGGTTCCTTGTAGAATATAAATTAATTGTTCACAGTTTAGACAGGTAGTGAGCCCCTTGTTGGAAAAAGGTTGTAGTGTAGTCTTGATTCAGTTGATCTTTAACTGATGGGTTACACTAGTACTTATGATAAATATTGAACGGACTGCGGAAGGATATGATTATAAGATTTACTGATCGTTGTTATAATCTAAACCTTCAGTAATCGATGCGTACTCTTAAGCTGTAAGATAAAATAAAATGGGCATATATATTATTACTTATTTATTTGATTTACCAAGTGTGATTCCTATTCTGTTAGGATGACATACTCGGTATTTTGGTAAGTAAGAGTGTTTATAGATGTGCCGTTATAAATTATTTACAGTCACTATGTCCCAGTGCGCTGGGTTGATGACGTCCTCGAAAATGAGCTCAAGAAGGAATATTATGTCAAACCCTGCAGGTGGATAATTATCCGGCATAATGATTAATGAACTGAGTGGTACTAGTTTCAGAAATGAGGAAGTGGAATTAATTTTATTATCATTCAATTAGATTAGTATTAATTAATTATTTGGAGGTTCAAATTTATTGAATAAATTGGAGCTAAATGGGGAAAGCAATAATATTACTCTAGTGGAAATGTTTTTTATTTAATTTTATTTAGATTAAGGAATTAACTTTATTCCATAATTATTATTCCATTAGGAGAGGAATATTCCTTCTAGAATATTATCTAGAGTTATGAGACTAAAGAGTCTTCTAGAAGGTTGTACGGGGTAGAGACCAAACGGCCAGAAAAATTTAAATTAAATTAAAGTCTGTTCGGGTTCGTGAAGTGGAAAATAAGGGAACGCGCGGGATAGAGATGAAGACCGAGCAAGACGCAAGTAGCGTGTCCGATTAGAACCAATCATTACCAGGGTATGCCCGTGCGATACGCGTTAAATTCGGCAGGATTTGGTAATCACCCATCCAAGAGTGTTAGATCGGCAAAGCCACGTGTCGCCACCCGGGCTCTGTTACTTTATTGAGATGGTGTTTTGTAATACAATAGCATTAAATGTGGTGTGACTAAATATCAAATTAATATCTTGTAAAGAGAAAAGGGAAAAGAAAATTGGAGATTAAGATGTAATAAGTCCTCACACTTTCTATATAAGGAGCAAGAGGCAACATTAAATGCAATGAGTAAATGCTCTCATTATTACTATAAAAGTCACGGATAGAGCTTACATTTGTATTACTTATCGTACCGAATACCATACAAATTCCTATTCGTGCAGACTGAACCGAGTATACATTTCAGTACACAGTTCGAACACATTGTTGTTCATTTTTAGACATTAACAATTGGCGCTAGAGGAACGGCAAAAAAACCCAACATGTCACAAACAACCGCATCATCGTCAAGCCGTAGATTCCACCGTGAAGAGTCGGAGGAAAGAGACAACCAGCACAACCACCAACCAGCTACGACAGACTAGTCAGCATTTTGCAAGGATCCAAACTTTGTGAAGGGGATATCGAACCTCATGACACAGATCCGGCCATCGACATCCTCATGACATCCGGCGAAGAGAGACCTGACCACCGGACCCAAAGACAAG